TAGGCTCACCCCCTATTACATGGGACTCATAACATAAATAGTGAAAAGTGGGTGTTCTGTGTGCACCTCTGCCTACCCCTTCGGGGATAAAAGGCGTGATGTTATGTTATGTTATGTGTTATTAGATTACTGAAGGAAATCAAAATGAAATGTTATGCTACTTTTCGTTATTGTGGTTATTGAATAAAGAACCGACTTTTGAAGAAGTTTTTAACCGACTTCAAAAAAGAAGGAGATTCTCGGTTTGAAATGTATGAATGTATATGTATGTATGATTGTGCGCGATTACCTCGCGATCGGTTGAATCAATTTTGATGCGGTTCTCAGAAAAGAGTTAGGAGAAGATTTTAGTATACTTATCAGCCGATTTAAAAAAAGAAAGGTACGAAGTCCGTTTTTTTTAAACATAGTTCATTAAAGAATTAGGTATTGAAGCATGGTTAGCAAACTGAAAAAATAACAAATTAATAGATATTTTCTTTATGTTTTTGTTTAATTATGCAGTTTGTTGAAAGCATTGCCATTAAAATTAATGATGTTAATGGTAAAATGAAGTTCAATTACAGTTCCTGGTATTGTTTTTTGTATTTACAGATGCACAAACATTTGGAAAGTCCAAGTTTTACGATAGTTCAGAGAATATAAGTGGGAAGACTCTGAAGGATATATTTTTCGAACTAGAATGTTCTATAGAAAACAGACAGTTGTGTCGCGATATTTATTGTATGGACTCTGAAAAGGAATATGGTAAGGATTGGTGATTATATGATCACAATATTTGCATTATTTTTGTTTTTTTTTTTATACTACGGCGGTGTCATAAAAGCACACGGCTCACCTGATGGTAAGTGATTACCGGTGTCTATGAACGCTTGCAACAGATGAAGCATTACATGCGCCTTGCCGACCTTTATAAAACCTACATACTCCTTTTTTGAAGAACCCCATTTTGTAGCCTATCGGAAAAACCTTGGCTCCACAATCAGAGGGTTATATGCTCTAAATAGACTTTCCGTTTTGTCGGGAGAAGTAGGCCCAAAGTGGGCGTTACTTAGATACCATACGCCCACATTTCAAAAATTAGTCCCGTGATACAAGTGTAATGTATGTTTATATACTTTATAGTATTAACGAATAGAATTTTGGTATCAATGAATCTAATTAACTGCAACTAAAGAACTAACTATAAACCTAATAATGGCATTATGAATATAGTTCAAATACCTAATGTCCACATAGTAGTCGCCGTAATAATTTGTAGTAAATATTTTATGTAACTAATAACAATAAATATTACACTCTATGCCCTAATTAATAATATCGAAAATTCAACCAATTAAGTGCGACTTTATACAATAGTTTATAGTAACATGAGATTCATTCAAATATAAACTCTAACTTCATTAATTTACAATTCATTTTCCTCTAGAGCTACTATACGAAGTGTCCGAAGCAGTTCTATATTTGGTCGCGCCTGAAGAAGCTTGGCGGTGTCATGCATTGAAACTAATTCTGATTGAGTTGCTATCCGCTGTTGTATTACGACCTATGATTAATTTGTTGAGCGACCCTGATAATATTAATAGGACTATTTTGCGAAGTGTGAGTACTTTTTTTTCTATTGTTAATTTTAGTAAGTAAGTATTTGCTGAGGTAATCCGATAGTTTATGCTTATAACTACGGGCCCCAGGCATAGCTCGAAACTAGTCAGTTAAGAGTTATGTTTTTAATTAAACAAAATTCCTTCAAATTGAATTAATATCTTGTCTGTTAACAGTGTTGTCGGGATTCCTGCCTACCCTCGGAGCTGTTCCTGGTCGTCATCAGGTGCTGCACCGACGCTGAAGAGTTGGATGCCACGGTGGAACTAGTACAAAAAGATATACAGAAATTAGTGAGTTTGTAGTCTCATATTATTAATAATTCTCAAACTACGACGATAAATGTAGAATATCGACTTGATCAAACCTTAACTGAATTTGCTCGAAATTAAATTAAAAGTCTTAATAATGAAATGTGGTAAGAAATTACTTTCATACATTTTGAACCTTATTTCAAAAGAATAATAAGGTTGTATATCAAAATCTATGAGAACATCTATGGAAACCGAGCTAGTACCGCTTGTTATAGATGAACCTGTACATTATAGTGTAGTTTCTTGTAAAGAAGGAAATATTGTACCAAAACATTCTAATTAGTCCCAAAAACTACCCTTAACATCCGATTTCCAGCATTCCAGAGACAGTGCAGGTGAATGGGAACTACAAGACAGACAGAAGCTTTCATCCCTTCAGTACCTAAGCAGGATAATCCAAGCCAGAAGGGCCACTTTAGGACCCCAAGAAGGTCTATCACATACTACTACCCCGGACAAAGTTTCTGAAGAGGTCGCGAGGTCACTCAAGTTCTTAAGAGCAAGCACTGCTTGGAGATCTAATGCACAATATTTATTGGAGATCGAGTTAAATGAGGCTGGTAAGTTTTTGATACATCATAATTATCTATTAGTAATGAAACTGTTTTGAGAAATGTTAAAATTTACTCAAGTTATTGTTCGACGAGGAACCTCGACTAGTTTCGAGCTGCATGAGGGGCTCTTAGTCGTGAGTAGAATGCCCAGAGTCTAGAATACTACTCTTGTAAGAGAAGAAGAAGAAGAAGGAATTGTAATTTCTAAACTGTATAATTATCTACGTCGATCTGAAGACATCATTTTTAAAAGAATAATAATATGACATTAAATAACACATTTATATTGTTGTTTAAATTTCTAGATGCACCCCACACTTCAAAAGCAGTGCTAGACAACTTACGATCATCAGCTTTGGAGCTCTGCGATCTATACTTGGCTCCCAACAGACCAACCGTGATGGGTATACCGGAGAACTGCTATGGAGAATTAGTGAGGAAGATCACGACCGAAGGGGAAGATTTTACTAATAATCCTGTGAATTGCTTTGATGAGGTTCAGAAGTGTGTTTGTGATGCTTTGGAGGTTAGTCGGCCATTCGTATTATAATTATTACGGTTACAATCTATGCTATGTGTTTTGGGAAATAGACTCTATTGGCTTGAGTTATGGTTTGGTTTACAATGATAGTGTTGTGTGGGATCTTTCAAACACTTGTTATCCAGAAATCAACTTACTGATTAGATAATAGAGTTGATAATTGTAAAATAGAATTCGTACATTTTAAGAAATATAGCTTCCAAGTTTTGTTAATCTTTCAAAGTTAAGGTTACCTTCATGAGTTGAAAGTTTTTGTTTGTTTTCAGGACGATCCATCTTGGCAAAGCGATTATATGATGGATAGCGAAGACAGTTCAGATAAGAGCAGGTAACATATTAATACACTATGTCTTTGTAGAATATTTTTTTTTATAAAACGTTGCCTTACTCTAGGGTTCTCTTCTGTGTCGTAGGTGTGTATATAAACATACAAGTTCACATATATGTGACACCCAGACCCAATGTACAACTATTACAATATACCCAGAACAACAATCTGTGGATCACACAAAGGTTGTTCGGTGCGGGAATCGAACCCGCTACACACGGCAGCGTTACAAGCGGCAGCCAGTTGCCCAACCACCGCGCCAACCGTGCAGTCATGACATACTTATTTAGAGAAAAACTCAATAAAACTTATTATAAATTGTTTCAGCGACATAAAAAAGGACGACAAACCAGACAAGAAATACAGCGGTAAGTTTCCTCACAAAATATAAACAAAAATACTAAATATCTTAACTCATTTCTCCCCGACTTATGAACCCCAAAATGCGCAGAAAAATGCAAGAAAATTATGAAGTCATGTTTGAATCAGTTGCCTAAGTTGTTCTTCAAGTCGAAGTACAAGTTTGACCTGCCGAACAAGTCCTCAACGTTCCCTCGCTCCCTCACGCGAAGAGTACCAAGTAACAAGAACCACACACTACCTAAATGCAATGCGTTTGGTATTAAATTTCAAAGTGAAGTTATAGACCCTCCTCATCACGTTTTTTCTTACATTGTCCTAATTTGCAAACGTTTTTGGTATTGAAAATTGTGTTGAGAAACGTTGTTTGAATATCAACTTTATTTACAAAGATTTAGGGTTGTTTTTTGAATGGATTGTCTTGAAGCGCGTTGGTTTTAAGGTTTTGACCGCCAATAGAAAACTGTTAAAGGCAAAGTTTCCGCTAACGTCGGTCACAGGTGACCCGGCGTTTAATGTGTTAAAATTAAAATCAACTTTAACTATAAGCACGTAAGGTCGGCAATGTTTTTACTCATCTAGTCTTACGAGTATGGAGGATGTTGATCACTCACCATCAGGTGATCCTTCTGCTCAAATATACATCATGTTTAACCTTTTATCTAGGCATACCATGGGTTAACAGTGCTCTCAAAAAGCAAGTCACTTTGAATCACACTATTCGAAAACCAATTTTACCGAGACAAAAATAAGGTTGCTTTTTAACTGAACTTCTTTTTTCAATACAGGTCTTACATACTGACATTCGTTTGCATTTTAGTACAATTGATAGAAAATACCCTGTAGTTGTATGCAGTAGATCCTTGCATTGGCAACATGATACATTGCTAGCTAGATACCTTTTCCTACATTTCTTCTTCTTACTTCTTTTCGGTTCACTCTGTTCTATGTTCTGTTGTGAGCGAAGTTCTCTTGTTTATTATTGGTTGCAATTGATATTTAATAGTAATATAAATGAATATATCACAGGAAAAGTGGCTCAAAGTTTGAGATCGAATTTAAGAGTGCATTACGTTCATGTACCACGTACAATACTGTGATTGCTTAAGTTTTAGGGTATCTGTTACGGAGTGGTTTTAGAGTATTAAAATGAAACTTTATTTATTCACTTAAAATATATTTATTTTCCAAAATACAGAATAGATCACTATCCGCAATGCAATGACGTTCAAATCCATTCTGACTGCAAAGCATTCCATAGATAAAAACCCGACTTTGTAACAATGGCAACTCAGATACACGTGAAAGGATAGCGTTGTCATCGTTATTGTTTTAAATGCTTAATGTGGGATTCCGATATAACATATCCCTTAAACCCAATGGATGCTCTTTGATAGGCTCCCAGGCCCCAAGATATGCCATTGGTCCTCAAGGGGTACCTTTCTTTAGTCAGAGTGTTGATATTTGATATGATTTAAGACATACTTTGGATACCTTTATCAAAGGAGTTATTATGTAATTATTTTTGTTGTTATAGTTAAGTTTGCCAGTTAATGGAGACTCGGTAGATTATTATTATTATTGAATATCGATACAAACAAAACATAAATTCCCCAACCCTTACACTTCCCTTGCAACAGAACTTCTTTCTAAACTTTAATAGAAATTATGTGATAGTGTAGTTTCTACAGATTATATATATATATTTTGTTACGCACGGTCTATGTGTGCGTAGTGTTAGATATCTATATGTAAACGTGGTAGTTTATGTTAGTGTGTTTTCAGGTGATGTCCTACCTGTGCCTGGTACAAGACATAACAGGTCCAGATCTGATATTGTGGGCAATTTCGCGCAAAGGATGATGATCAATGAAAGTGCTGGTAAAGTATTGTTTAAGATGTGGCAATGACCTTGAGTTTAGAGGAATCGACTAAATATAGAGGGTTATTTTTGCTGCCATGACGATTATGTTTGATGCTCATTAAAAGTTGAATTAATTCTTAAAAAAAATAATTAACTAAAACGTAAATGAAAAAATAAGTATAAAGTCTTATACAGGTTGACTTCTAACTCGACGTATTTTTTTTTTAGCATTAGCCGATAATCTAGCATACGGATCACCTGATGGTAAGCAATCGGCGTCGCCCATGGACATCCGAAACACCAAGTGCGTTACCGGCGTTTTGGGAATTGGAAATTTGAGTCTTGTGGAGGATTCGGGGATTCGGGAGACTGGGTAGTTTATGTTATGTTTTTGTAAATTAAAGAGTAATATGATTTTTTGTGTGTTACAGGTCCATCAAATTTGTCGTCAGCAAACAATAGCAATCTTTCCCTTTCTCATTCGGAAATCAGTAGAAATGCCAAAAACTTGATGTCTCCTCTATCAGCGTGTATTATTGAAACAGGTATGTGAAGACTTGTATTAATTTTATTATCAACTAGGTTTCTGCCAGTGGCGTCGCCCGCGTTCTTAGCATAAAAAGTATGTGTTATTACAGACCAAAATCAACCCCTGTTATGTTACCAAATTTAATCCAGATCCCTTCAGCCGTTTTGACGTGAAGGAATAACACACAAACAGACATACATACAGATTTTCATTTATAATATAGGATTTTTTTTTATGGGGCTTAGCCGGTAAACGGGCAGACGGATCACCTGATACACCAGAGGCGCTACAAGTGCGTTATCGGCCTTCTGGATTAGGAATTTGATAATTTGGGGATTCAGGGATTGGGGAGGGGGGGGGGGCTCCGGTAACCTCACCCACGCCACGAAATACAACACAACGTGGTTTCACGTCGGTCTTCTGTGAGGCCGTGGTATCACTCCGGTCGAGCCGCCCCATTGATTTCGAAGCATGGCTGTCAGACACTTAAAGGATAGGATAATATTAGTAGGATAACAAAATAACAGACTGTACTGTTGCGCAGTATGCGACCGTCTTCTGTATCGCGGGTACGATTATTACACGAATTACGTTGTATGATCCAAAATTGTCTGCTCTGCGCTTTTAGATATTTTTTATTCCAACATCTCTCTATGTTTCTCTTTCAGCTCTAGTACAGGACAAAGGACGAACTTTTGGTATATACGCCATAGCAGTGACTAGACTATCAGATAACGAAGTGTGGCATATATATAGAAGATATAGTGATTTCTATGACCTACACTCTTCTATTAAGGATAAGGTAAGTAACGTTGTTTTATCCATATACCCAAATTCTAAAAGGTAACTAAAATCCTATTGAAATCTCCATAAATATGTTAGACTTGGGAATCCAAACGGAGTCTCCTTGCTCAATAGTCGCACTTGAAACTTGACCAACCAATCAGACATTAAAATTTAAGATTTAATAGCTAGTTAATAAATTGTTATTATTAAACTGCTTACTCAGGTAAATCGTTCGAAATTATTTGACCCGTTTGTAAGTCTTAAAGAATTTATGATTATGAGCCGCGGTATAGGTTGAAACTAGTCGAGCGGCCTCGAAATTTTTATCTTAGTACATTTTAATCAGTGATATGTTAGCTATAATAATATATTTATAAAAATCATATAAACTAATATCAAAATTCCTTCACAGTGGCCGGAATTGAGCAGCCTCCCATTCCCAGGAAAGAAAACGTTTCAGAATACATCTCGCACAGTTTTGGAAAGTCGAAAACGGATGCTAAATACTTACTTACAAACTTTGGCTAGTTTAGCCAGGGATGCCAAGTATATGACTTTGTTGTCTCCCGACTATTTAGGAGGGTTTCTTAGTCCGGAGAATCAGACTGAGAAACACAGTAACACGGTGAGTTCTATATTTTACAAGCTTTAAAATTACCTTATATCCTTCTTCGTATTGTCGAATTGTATGCAAAACTTTAAGAAGATTGGTTCAGTAGATAAAGCCTAAAAATACAGTAACTTTATATTATAACTTTAGTGAAACATATTAAATTAATTATTATGTTGTTCGACTTTCTCACGTAACTGTTTGACGAGGAACTCGACTAGTTTCAAGCCATGCTAGAGGCTCATATTCATTAGCAGCATTCCGTGACCCGTGACGCGGCGACTGTCGCGCTGACACCGTGGCTGCCTCTAGCATGACTTGAAACTAGTCGAGTTCTTCGTCAAATAATTACGTAAGTAAGCCGTAAACCATAATAATTAAGTGTATAGGACTTTTATATTGATTGTCTTTATCTATTCATTTCGTTTCTTGTTGAATGTGCGAAGCGTTTTATGTCTTGACCGCTTTTTCTAATTGCAGTTTTAGCAATAAGATACTGGTTACATAATATGAACTACTTACATTATTTTTTTCTATGCAGCGAATTACTGTATTTCTTTACTTGCAATAGTGAATTGAAAACTTACTACTATTATGTCCAAATACTCAAATGCTACTGAATTTATAATAACGACGACGTCGGACGGAGTGACGTCACGGATGACGGTGACAGCTAACCGGTTTTTATGTACTCCAGTTTCGAAAAATTATAATAAATACATAACGATTAAATATAATAATAAGTCTTCCGGATAAATATTGCTTATTCCTCAAACAATATCATTTATTGTGGATAAGTGTCAGTGAACTATAAAATAAGCAAAAATTCACATATTACGGCTGGTGTCAGTGTGTCAGTGCTAATCCTACCCTATTAGTATTATATATATAATACTAATCTGTTAAAGTAAAAATAAACCTTAATTAAGTCTAATTATGGCAAAGTGTGGTGGATGTGGTCAGTTCCTAGCTGCATCAGTGAGTATCCGGTGTAGTAAATGTCCGGGTGCATATCACCGGGCCTGTGTGGGTATACCGGCCACGGCGACTCCCTCACCTACCTGGTTGTGTCCCGGCTGCAAAGCAAGAATCCCGAAAGCTGATAACTCTGCGACACCGGTGAAGGCTGCGACATCGGATTGCGTGGTCTCCGATAGTCCATCCGCCTCGGATCCCGCAATTTTGGATTTAGCCAGGGAGATTCGTTCTTTTAGGGAAGAACTAAGCGCCTTAAGGACAGAAATCCGCGAGATGCGTCAGGAGGCCGCGGATTTAAGGTCTATCGTCGGGGGGTGCAACGAGCGCGTGGAGGTGGTTGAGCTCAGGGTGGCTAACCTCGAAAAGCGTTTCGAGGAGAGGGAGCCCTCTTCATATGACCATCTTGAGGCTACAATTTCCGAGCTGAAGCTTCAGTTGAATGAGAGCGATCAGGAACTCCTATTGAACGATGTCCTCATCACGGGAATACCGGAGACTAAAGCAGAGAACCCGTTACACATAATTAAAGCGGTCTCATTGAAGCTTGGGATTACGATAGAGGATAGGGACGTAGTAAATGTCGAGCGCATTGGTGCGGTGCGTCGGAATTTCATCCCTGGCTCTGCATCTACCCTCAGTGACTCGGTTGGAGGGTCGCGGCCGCGCGCAATCGCGGTGCGGTTAGCCCGTCGCACATCGAAAGATCAACTGATACGTGCGGCGCGCGTGCGCCGTGGGCTCACCACTGCGGACCTCGATTTGCCCGGCCAGCCGCGGAGGTTCTATGTGAACGAACATCTGACCAGTTCTAACGCACGGCTTTTCCATATCTCTCGTGAGGCTGCGCAGCGTCATAATTTAAAGTATGTGTGGACAAAAGAGGGACGAATTTATGTACGGAAGGAGGATGGAGTACCGGCGCAACGAGTGCGTTCAGAGGCGGATATAAAAAAAACTTTTGGCTAGTGCACCGTTTGCCGATTGTTATATATAAAGTAGGCATTTTTGTGGTAATTGTACATTTATTTATTTGTTATTGTTTTGATGTTATATTTTTTATTCAATTGGGTTTATCAGTAGTGTGCGCTTTGATACTGGTTGGCATCGCTTGCAGTGACGCGACATTGTGTAGTCATCGGTTTGAAGCAACTTTGATTAATGGCTATGGACACCTGTATCTATGTATATTTATTACTTTTATTCCTTTCACATATTTACGTTTTATAAACCAGTCTCACATCTTATTATATAATAACATCTATGAGTTTGTTATAGTAGTTTGTTATAGTACACACAACTTTTTCCAATATTTATTTCAATATTCTTATACGCGTTTTTATTTTATCTATATTTTTAATCTTGATTTTTTTTACTACGATCGCTTAACATGACCTCAAAGAATTTCAAAGTTGGTTTTCTTAACGCTGGATCACTGGGTACTAACCACGATGAGTTCATAGCTGCTATAGAACGACATGACATAGACATTATGGCTGTTAATGAGACTTGGCTCAGGGCCGGGGAGGAGGGGCGCGCCCCGTCGGTGCCCGGCTACCGGCTGCGGCACGTACCGCGTCCGCTGAGAGTGCGCGGCGGCCGTGGCGGTGGTGTAGGATTCTACATTAGGCGAGGGACGAATGTACGGGCTCATCCTCATCCGGTGGACCCTGTGCACACGGATGTTGAGCAAATGTGGCTTTCATTGAATGTTAACGGTTGTAAGCTCGCGATAGGAACGGCTTATAGGCCGCCATGGCTTGATATCGACACTTTTCTGGATGCGTTGACGGCTTCGGTGAACTCGTTATCATTTTGTAACCACATCATGCTGTTGGGAGATTTTAATATAAACTACCTATCACCATTGGATTGCAGATTTACTAAATTGAAAATATTTTTGGACTGTTTGAACTTAGATCAGTTGGTGACGTCTCCCACGCATTTTACAACAAATAGTTCTACACTTATAGATTTGGTGTGTACCGACGCTAAGGTTATTAATGTTACTGTTGAACCTATTGAGGCGCTTGGTGCCCATGCATTTATTACAGCAGTTCTTCGGGTTAATAGGGAGAGGATACCACCGAGGCTCATAATCTGCAGAAGTATCAAAAATATTGACTGCCACAAATTTGATGAGGCACTGCGTTCGATTGACTGGTGTGGGGAAATATCACAATACGATGTAAATTCTATGGTGCTCCATCTTAGTAGCAATTTGTTGGGATTATTTGATGCTTTTGCTCCTCGAAAAAGCGTCACAATAAAGGAAAGGTCTTACCCTTGGATAACCGACAATATTAAATTTATGATGCACCTTCGTGACGTAGCGTACAGGCGGTTTGTGAACAATAAATCCTTACAGCATAAAAAACAATATTATTTAGATTTAAAGAGCCTAGTAAACAAATCTATTTATTTTGAGAAAGTAGCTTACTATAAAACTAATATTAACAATAACTTAAAGTATCCGAAATTATTATGGAAAAATTTAAAAGCCACACTGCTTCCTCCAAGTAACGATATGGATCTACCCTCACATTTTCATAACCCAGATTTAATAAATTTTAATTTCTTGCATGTTCCTGGTGACCCTAGTACCTCATTATCACATCTCACGTATTATGAATTTCATAGGTTTTCCGACTGTGCTTTTTCCCTGAAACCCACGAGCGCTGCTAAGGTATTGAACATTTTGAATGCCCTAAAATCGAATGCTGAAGGATGCGATCAAATCACATTGGATATGTATATGTTGACAGCCCCCCTAACACTGGACTTATTGGTACGGATAATTAATGGTTCCATAACAACTTCTTCATTCCCCGAAGCCTGGAAACTTGCAATAGTGCGTCCTTTACCTAAAGTGAACAGCCCTAGTAATCTCAAAGACTTAAGGCCAATCAGTATCTTACCCTTATTATCCAAGGTGCTAGAAAGAGTAGTGAATGAGCAGTTGTCTAGGTTTCTTGAGGGTGGTGGCATCCTTCCGGAGCTGCAGTCGGGTTTTAGAAGGGGTCGAAGTACAGCTACAGCCTTGTTGGACGTAACCGACAATATTCTGTCTGCACAGGATGAAGGTCTGTGCACCATGTTGGTCTTGCTGGATTTTTCTAGGGCGTTCGATGCCATAAATTTGTCACTACTACTGTCTAAGATGGCGTATTATGGGTTCGATATGGCAGCGTTGAGGTGGTTTGACAGTTATCTCAAAAACCGTACTCAATTGGTTGAGATTCGCGATTCAAAGGGTTGTCCTTTGCGTTCGGGTGCAGAACCGGTAACTAGGGGCGTTCCGCAGGGATCAATATTGGGGCCAACTCTATTTATTTTGTACTGTACCGATATTGTCAAGGTCATAAAGCATTGCAAATTCCATATCTATGCTGATGATCTTCAAATATATTTCTCCTTTAAGCCGGGCGATTACTTGGCTGCAGTGACGGCTATAAACGAGGATATAAATAGCATAGTGGAATGGTCTAGTCGGAACTGTCTCATTTTGAATCCATCCAAAACCAAATATATGCTTTTTGGAACAAACGGTCAGTTGAGCAAGGTTCCTAGTAATTTTAACGTACTAGTGGGTGGACAAGTAATCGAACGTGTATTTGAAGCCAGGAACCTGGGTCTTATAATGGATCAAGCCCTCAGGTTTGAAACCCATGTTTCAAATTGTGTAAAAAATTGTTTTTACCGCTTGAAAGTTCTGTACAGAATGCGTGCATATCTCAGCGAGGATTTACGAGTGCAGCTGGCCGAAGCTTTGGTTTTGTCGAAATTAAATTACGCGGATACAGTAATTGGCTCTAGACTCTTATCACGAACAAAGAGGCTGATTCAACGGGTTCAAAACGCATGTGCCCGTTTTTGCTTTAATATACCACCGAGGGGTCACGTTACACCTTATCTTAACAATCACAACCTCCTAAAAATGAAGTCACGTCGTAAGCTCCACCTAGCTTGTCTTCTTTTCGGCGTAATCAAAAATAAGTGTCCCTCGTACTTGCACTCAAAATTATCCTGGGTTGGTGCTCACCGAGAGCGGGAGGCTAGGCAGTGTGCACAGCATCTAGCTATACCTCAACATAAAACAGCAGCATTTCGAGGCAGTTTTCGGTACGCAGCGTCCAAATGTTGGAACAATATACCTCCACCAATCAGAGACTCACCAAGTATAAATAGTTTCAAATACAATCTTAAAATGTTTATTTTAACTTCACAAAAAGACAAGGCTGCAATTAATGTTGATCTGTCTATCATTTAACTCTAGCCAGTTTAGTGTATGAATGATACAGAACGCAGACATACTGGCTGTTCTATGTCCTTCGTTGTGTCATGTGTACTATTTATTAACATTTTACTTTTTATTTTTATTTTATTTTACATTACTTTTTATATTTATTACATTGATAATTATACCATTGTTGTATCTGCATACTTATTGCATAAATATGTGTGTATGTGTGTATATGTATGTATATGTATATGTGTGTGTGTATGTATATGTGTGTGTGGTGGGTGTGCAGATGCATTATTATATATGTATATAATATATATATATATTTTCTTGTTGTCTTTGTCTAACCATTCAACGTTGCTACCATCCGTGCGTCACTGCATGGGTGCCCACTGAAAATCAGTGCTGGGTAACCTGTATGCCTGGCTTACACTGAGTGGGTCACCCTTTTAGCATAGGCATGTTGTCAGCGTCTCTTTTCTAATTCTTCTGTTTCAATTTTTCAACTCTTATATTTTTATTACTTCCACTGTCACACCTTGATTGTCTTTTTTTTTTTTTTTTTATTTATGTATGCTGCATCGTGCCTGGTGCTAAATAAATGTTTTTTCTTTCTTTCTTTCTTTCTCTTTCTAATTTTAAGTCGCGCTCAAGTATAGTTCTGTCTCTACAAATTCTTTGTAAAATGACAGAGATGGCACGATATTTAAGTACTACTTCAAATTGGGTAGCCTTTCAGTATCTCTCCTGTTATGGTTTGAACATACTTTATAATACGGTGTATATATTCTTTGAGGTGTTATATAGTTCATATTGTGTTACCAGAAACCCAGGCTGTGAAAATGGCTTGCGCTTTCCTTTTGAATGTATGTCTTTGCGCATGACCTTTAAAGTCCTTTCTAGCATTTATGAGATACACGTGAATTTGTCCACGTCACAATTTTAGTTGACGTTTTGATCAGAGATAGTAATCAAAACGAGACCGCGATCGGCGCTCTGATTGGCCGGCTCCAATGGATCAACCAATCACAGCGCCTAACGCGGTCTCGTTTCCATTACTATATACGTAAAACAAACTCGTTCTAAGGCCTTAGGTTGTACTGATTTTGGTTTCAAACTTTTTGGACCAACAGTAGAGGTCTTTGTAACATTTTATTTATTAAGTTAAGATTGGTTTTTATGCTCAGTATTTTACGCGAGTGAAGAATTATCGTTGATCGCCTATTTACAATCAATAAATTATAATAAGCTCCATCTTAATTATTGTTATCATGTCTGCAGATTGATGCTCTCCTAGTGAATTCTTTGAAAGCCGGTATGAGGACGTTGAAGAACATGCCTGACCAGTTCGCTAACACCGTTGATGGAGTTATGGATGGTAAGATTTTTATGACATACGTGCAGCTTGGCAAAAAAGAGCTCGACGCGGTGACTGCCGCGTTGGCCGACTGGTCACCGGTGCGACCACCGTCGCCCGGGCAATAGACTCACCCCGATTACATGGGAATCATTACATAAATAATGAAAAGTGGGTGTTACATTGTATGTACAGTGGCATTAAGTGCTGTAATGTGTACCTCTGCTTACCCCTTCGGGCATAAAAGGCTTGATGTTATGTTATGTTATCTGTAGTACCTCCTCTTTTTAAACTCTATAAAAATAATTGAGGCGTAGTGTACCAGATTGCCTGCGACAGATACTGAATACTGATATAAATACTAGTGACCTTAATTATTTCATACTCTTGCCAAGCTGTACGATAATTATTCGTCCTTTGGTAGAAAAGGGACACTTGCACAAACATTTAGCATACATACAAGCATTATTTTTAACAAAAACATTATCCAATTTTCAACCCTTACTTGTGTTCTAAGATCCATACCACAGGGAAAACTTATTTAGATACTCTACTAAAACCATTTTTCAAAATTGAAAAATTTATCAATTCGGGAATCAAGGGTCCTCACCATTATAATTGATATGGCAGATACGGCGCTAGCTACGCCCCTGGTCCTTGGTTACGATTCTCGTTAACAAATGAGGTATTTAATCATTAACTCGATCTCTTTGACTGGATTTTGGTGTGACATTGTTCCCACACAATTGAAACAACAAAACTATGTAACTAGAGAATTGTATTGTGAACCTGATTGAAAAATAGTAGTAACCTATGGAGTTTCTTGCTCGTTCTTCTCCATAGAAATCTACACCTTGGAGAGAGCAAATAGCGGCTCTTACTTAAATTTTTTTGTTGACGTTCAAATGCTCCTGGTTTCCTGGTCTAATTGAAATAAATGATTCTGACTTGACTTTAAAAAAAGAACATGTTTCTGAATGAATAATACAAAGATCCTTGTTTGTTTTTAGGTATTTCTAAAGTATTCCAAGGGAAGGGTGAAGAAAACTATTACGATGGTTTTAAAAGTGGAAATTCATCTGATGGACAAGAGGTACGAGTTTATTTATTTAACTTTTATAAAGCGAATATAGCTAAACAAGCGTGTAAACGTTTAGATTTTTTTATGGGATAAGCCGGTCAACTATCAGACGTATTACCCGATGGTAAGCAATCGGCGCCGCCCGATACCGGCGTTACAAGTGCGTTACCGGCCGTTTGAGGATTGTTGGGGATTCAGGGATTGAGGGGGGGGGGGTAATTGGGCCTACGATAACCTCACTCACAAGACGAAATAGAACGCAGGTCGGTTTAACGTCGGTTTTCTGTGAGGCCGTGGTATCAGTCCGGTCCAGCCGGCCCATTTGTGCCGAAGCATGGCTCTCCCACAAAAACACAAAAAAAATAATTAATAGTAAGAACCAACTATAGTCGGGCCATTACAAACGTGCGGACTGTCATAAGTCTTTTTTAACGAATCTCTCGCTCACACTTATGGGAGTTGTGCAAATTGTCACATTCCTTTGACGTGACAGTTTATAGTTGAGGCATTACCTACTAACTAACTAACTAACTATTTCAAGAACCCTATTTCAATGAAAAATCTATAGAAAATCTATAGTTTCTGTCAAAAATCACCACAGATTTTTATAAAGCGAAATAATGATTTAATATTTATGTTGTATAGACAACTAATGCCAAAAATCGATTTCTATCCATATATCCATATCTCCATTTTGGATAAAAATAGGTTAGGTAAGAGACTAAGCATTTAACAAAAACCTAGGATTAGTAGGCTCTGATAAACTGAAACCTTTTAAATTGCGATATCCAACCTGCCGTGCTTGAAGACTAGCAAACCCTCCCATGACAGGTTTCCTAGCTTCTGCCGCGCCTTCGCCCGCGTTTCCGACGAACAAAAGGTCTTTGTGTTATTCTAGATCCCCGTTCCAAATTTCCTCCTGAACCCTTCAGTCGTTTTGACGTCATCGAGTAACAAGTATACACACATTAGCATTTATAATATTACTAGCTACTTCCGCCCGGTTTCACACGCTCTGCTTAGCTCCTATTGATCGTAGCGTGATGTTTTATAGCCTATAACCATCCTTGATAAATGCGCTATACAACACAAAAAGAATTATTCAAATCAGACTTGTAGTTACGGAGATTAGCGCGTTCAAACAAACAAACAAAAAACAAACTCTTCTGCGATATATATAGTAGTATAAGATTCAGTAAGATAATTCAACAGTGGACTTTAGATCTGTTGAATATTAACTATGTTGTGAACTACAAACTTGATTATTTATTTCGATTTTTATTGACAGGAAAACGACGAGAGTGTGGCTCTGAAACTATTCGAAGAAGTATTAGGTATAAGAGGTTTATGGTTGAGAAGACGTCTGCTTGCTCCCATCAGGACATTGATTGCAGATAGAGTTAATAAGTACGTATTTAAATAATGTTTCTATCGCTCGAATACTGAAAAGTACCAATTTAAGTCGCGCTTAAGTATAGTTCTGTCTCTACAAATTCTTGGTAAAATGATAGAGATGGCACGATATTTAAGTACTATTTAAAATTGAGAAGTAGTTGAGTAGTATTCGCGCGTTTGTCACGAATAATTGCTATTTTGAAATAGTCTTATAAAGTAGGACTAATAAGGTCTAAAATATTTTTATTTACTTTGAAAATTGAGTACTTGCCAACTAGTCAAATTCAATACTTTTTCTGAACTGTCAAAAACGACAGTTTTCTATGAATTTTGTACGAGATTGTGTATTGTGACGTCACGTTTTTTAGCGTCAAACAGATTACTCATTTCTTAAAAAATGCTGGAAACATACTAAAATTAATTTGGTCATAAAATCTATTAATGAAATTATATGATTATTTTTTAGTATTTAATTGTATTGAACAGTCAAAATACTATATTTTTTATTTAGGAAAATACTCGATTTAGCTATTAGCAGTATTTAATAAATAATTATGTCCACAGAAAGGTGCTAGAATTCGTGTCGTCCTTAACATCACCACGGAACGTTGTACAATATTTGAAAACATTCAAGTAAGTGTTATCTGACTTAGGGTAGATGCCTAATTTTTATTTTTATGTCCATCTGGTACATAGATTATTTTAAATCATTAGACACGTATTTTTTATTTTCTTACAGAAACGAATACTTTCGACGATATATTGATTTGAAATGTCGCGTGACGTCACTTCTATGTACATTTTATACGTAGAAATGACGTTTTAGCCTCCACTCCTAAACTTTGATTCGTTTTATCTAAGTATTGTCTTATTATACGACAAAATAAAAAAATACGTGTCGAACATTTTTTCATTACCTAACTTACGGACTGATTATATTTTTCATACCCTGTCAGCATCCTAATTGTTGCAACTGCATTGTTTGCTGAGCTTCACTACTTTAAACTATATAATTGTAATTTTAATAAATCCTGATTATATCTATTCTAGGCAGTGGTTGACAAGTCGAAATAGTTCGAGTATCGGCAACAGAGACGCTGCAACAAAAGCCAGGACACGAGTCGCCGCTAAAGTTGCCTTGCTTTCTGCTTGCTCAGGTAACAATTGATTGCTGTGTATAAAGCATGTTGATTGGTTGCTTTTAAAGATGTCATTATGTTAATTGGTAAAATTATGGGGTAATTCTTTGATAAAAAAACAAATATTGGGCTGGGTCGCTTGGTGTGGCGTAATAAGAAACACTAAACAAAATAAATGTGGAAATGTTAGAATTTTAAAAACTTTCATTAGTTCTTCAATAACTAAACACCTAGATGTTGCCATTCTCAACCTTAAAGTAATAAGCGTACGTTTAATTTTCAGACGACTTGCGACACATAGTAGGCTCGGACACGGCTAGAAGAGGATTGTTAACTGTATTCGATCTGTTCCAAAACCAGGAGATCAATAGGAGATTGATATTTGTGCTGCTTGAAAGTAAGTTCAAGTTCATTTAAATTTTCCACTCAAAATATTAATATTACATTTGTTTTTAATTTCAATTTACCACAATAATTTATATCATTGGTTGGTTATGCGTCAGTCGAAGTCCCATGAGGTCATGAGGAAAGTAATCGAAATGAAACCGCGTTCGCCATTCTGATTGGTTGGTCCATTGGAGCCAGCCAATTACAGCGCCGAACGCAGTCTCGTTTCGATGACTTTAAAGTAAAACAAATTCGTTCTAAGCCCTCTGTTATGTTATAAGTTTAAATTTATTTATTACCATCCTTTTTAATTAACGACGCTATGCTATTACTAAAAATTAGAGATTTGGCTTTAGGTCGATCCTGAAATCAAATCCAACTTCCGATTGATAACGACACCTGACTCCTCAACCTTGTGACTTTACCGATGAAGTTCAAATAATTTAACGAATTGGGTACTTGCTAACTAGTCAAATTCAATACTTTTTTCGAACTGTCAAAAACGACATTTTCTATGAATTTTTGTACAAGATTGTGTATTGTGACGTCCGTCACGTTTTTTTAGCGTCAAAATTTGCTGGAAAAATACTAAAATTAAGTTGGTCATAAAATAAATTAATGAAAGTGTGATTATTTTTTAATATTTTATTGTAATGAACAGTCGCAATAATTTATTTTTAATTAAGAATAGTATCCAACTAGGTGATGTGTTTATAATGAATGTTTTTTTTTGTTACAGCAATGTTAACAAACTTGTTCCCAGACAACAATATACCGGAATTATTTAAGAAGATGTACTCACATTCACCGCGCGTGCCTCCGCCTAAGAAATCTGTCAACGTATAAGCAACACACAAAGTATCCATTGATTTTCTTTATTATTGTTATTATCTTTTTCAACGTAATACTTCCGTTCGTTTCAAACAATTCTATGTTGCTCAAGTCTTTTCCGTTTCTTAAGTTTGTACTCAAACTCGTCTATTTAAGGTCCAATATTGTTTGCGACGACATCTATTTTGAGATTCATTTTGCGAACATTAGTGATATTTATTATAACAACCGTCTTTATTTATTAATATATTTATTCAAGGCTATTTTGTGGTAAGAAAATGTCCATTGAGACCAACGAAGTAATTATACAGCTATTGGCTTTTTGGGCCAAGCGTAACTAGCGCCATCTAGTAAGATTTTATTTAATTAATATTTATTCGAATATGGCTATGCATTTGTAAGGAGATTTTACTTTTTAATTAGTGCAGTGCCAAAGACATTAGTCATTATTTAATTGGCAATGTTATAAATACGAAATTGTGATATATAAAAAATGTACCTAAAATGAAATTCTAAATATTAGTTAATCTATGGCAGTTAATTAGTAAAATATACAATTAAATAGTTAATTTTACAATCAGGTTATGATAAATATGGCGGGAATCTTTTTATTTCGAATATTCTCAGGGAGTTATTTATTTTTATTACAATTGAAAAAGCTGTCGCGTAAATTGGAAAAATTGTTTTTTTTTTATTTCAATTAGGTTATCACTTTGGGCTTTGAATCAAACCAACTTATTGATTGAGAGATCACAAGTAGGTAGTTACAACTAGCCAACTGAGGGCTGGGTTCGATTTCTAGGTTAGGCTATGGATTCCGGAATTGTGCCTAATTTAACTATAGGTTTATCTTACGTTACGTAGAAAAAAAGGTATTACCTTTCATATGTGTTATTTTATTATTTTTTTGCGAAATAGGGTAGTTTTCTAAATGTTATTTTAATGTCCGTCTGGTAGATTAATTTAAAACGTTAGACACGTATTTTATCTTTTTTCATAAAATTGAATACTTTCGACGATATTCATTTGAAATATCGTGTGACGTCACAGTGTGCTACACTTTGTAGCACTTTGTGATGTAACGACCTCCAACTCCTAAACATAACGTCATTTTATCTTCATTTTATTTAAACTTAATATGATATTTATGAACTTAATACGAGATTATAAATACGTGTCTAATATTTTTTCATTATCTAAGCTGGCGGACTAATTAGATTTTTAATTTTCATACCCTGGCAACTATCCTATAAAAGACATGAATTTGATCTGTTTGATATAATTTACAACCAAAATTTTGACAATAAAATATTAATTCATTTAAAGCTAACGAGGAACGATAAAGTTGTATATTTATTTTTAATTTTGTAAGAATTGCGTCAATGAGCCATTGTATTGTAATTTCATTATTTGAATGTTTTTATTTTTTCTCTCTGTCTCGGGGTTGAATCCCGGGTTGTGCAAAGTATTATTGTGTTTTTTTTAATAGTATAAAGTTGGAAATGTGACCGATGTATAAGCAATAGTTACGCCCTTTATTAAATAGGACTTATTTATAGAATAACTGGCTAAAAGTAGGTGTTATGTTTAAAAATATTCTTCAATATAGGAAGGGGTATTTTTGTCCAATCAGCAGCTGTCAAATATTGAACGTCCAATGATGTAACACTAGCTAATTCGCTATTGGACGAAGAACGAAAAGTTCACATTTGGTGAGCAAAAATACGATAGGCCCCATAAAATAAAATACTTATTTATAAATGAATGAAAAGCAATAATAGTATATAAATGGTATTAAACAAATACATATCATGAGTTCACAATAATTATTGTATAATAGCTATATTTATAGTTACATTACATTCCATTGATACAGATTATATTATATTTTATTGTAATTAAGTACCTAAGTATTTATTTGATTTATTAATAAAGGTTTTTTTATTAAATTGTATTGTTATTTAAGACACTTTTTCTGCTCTGTTATGGAAGAACTATACGCCTAATCCTGACAATTTTTTTTTTAAATTTGAAAAGTGCCTTACTCCCAAATACATTAATCGGTACTGAATTTTAAGTTCACTTTACCTTTCGGGCCGAAACACATAACTGCGTTGCGATGCCGCAACGCTAAAATCGGCAGTTTGCATTGCGGCGTTGCGGCGTCGTGAAAAAGAGCGTTTTGTTGTCGTTCGGTAGGGTAACCAGTTCGTCGTGATTTTTTATTGTGGATAGAGGTGTCTCTGCCATGAACCATTATGAAAAAATTATTGCTTATTTGTTATTAAGAAGACATTACTCTGCAATGCTGGTTACGGCGCCGCAACGGGGTTATGTGTTTCGACCCTCGTGTGTCTAAAACGTGGATCCACGCGAGACACAAAATATTTTCTATTGTGTCTCATATCGGTACATTAAAAAGGTTAAATTATCGTACCATCTTCGTCATTTAGTTACAGAAGCATACTTAAGCGCGACTCAAAATTTAGTAGCGTTTCAGTCGTTTGGGCGTTACTGGTCTAATTGAAATAAAATTTTGACTTTCACCATTGTCGAATTCGTCGAATCGTCTTCTCCATAATTTTATTGAAAATCAGACTGGTAGTTTGGCTGGCTAGACAGATAAGCAAACATCAACTTTATTACATTTACATCAATACAAATTCCTCATCCTTCAATCTCAAAACATTTCCGTTTCTCAGACAGAAACAATAACTTAAAAACTTTAAAACCCTTCATATTCCAACTCAATATCTCCCTAAAACTAAAAATAACAAATTGTGGTAAAATTATTCAAAACCAATAATGATGTTATATGAGTTGAACGCACATTACTATGCAGTGAAAGACTGCCAAATGCCTGGTAAACGCTGTGACCACTCTCCAAGGGTTGGGTACACGCCAGCGGTGCTTCGATGCCAACTCGCTCCCGTAAATGTACCCATATTCGGACCGAACTAATTACCTACAATAAATTCTTCGATACGTCTCCAATCTGCTTAAAATGTTTGACCTAATTAGGTTTTTGGAGAGAAAGAAGTTGCTTAATGTGAGTATGAAGCGACGTTTTAATTTTTTTTAGTAATGAATATGCTCATTGCATTTTGGGACGCTTCTACTATTGGGACTAAATATCTTGTCTTTATTAAAGTTGTGATCTATCTGTTTGCTTTGATTTGATTCTGTTAGGCAGTTTGAAGTCTGAAGTGGCAAGTGACATTGGAATATTAAATGTTGGTTCCCAGCTCTATTACAGTGATAATTATGATCGCAATTTTTGAGTCCCTCTTTCGGTTTCCAGAAAAAATCAACTCGTTAAACCATATGAAATGTATAGTATGTGTGTGTGTTCGTTACTCTTTCACGGCTGAAGGGATCGAGACAAAATTTGAAATGGGTAGATTATGTTCTGGAATCACATGGGTCACATTTTATACAGCAGGAACGCGGGTGAAACTGCTGGCAGAAGCAAGTTTACTCATCATTATATTTTTCAAAGAACAACCGTAATTCTATGTTTAAGTTTAGGATATCTTTATTTCTTATGAAGAATCATATACATACATAATTCGTTTACTGAGAAACAATATTTAACACAAAAGTAAGCAATTTAGAGCGCACAGTAATTCTAAAATAAACCTCTGACAGAATAGCGAATAGTATCGAATGATAATTTAAAACAGGGAGTGCGACAATTTGAGCACGTTTGCTGACGATGGGTTTCGTCCGCGGGTCCCGTCACCTATTGTCGTGAGCCCGGGTACCCGGGTTGTCCGAACATACGGACATGTCTTTCGTGATGAATTGATGGCAGATAAAAACCTCAAGGACAGTGGACTAAAAGCGAAACTAGATTCCGTATAATGGTACGTTGAGGTTTGAGGTAGGTAGGTATCTACAACTGTTTTTGTGTTACGCAATTAAATATTTTATCTAGGTTGATTTAGGGTTCAAAAAAACATATTTGCTAAGTTAATGCTATATAGATTTTTGCTTCACAATTTAATAGTTTCTTTAGTTAAAAGGAAGTTATTTCGTCTTTTTAATGCAATAAAAAATAACAAAAATATATTTTTTTCTCCATCATAACCTGTTTTTTTCGTAAAATGTTAAACACAAATGAAAAGACTGTTTTGTGTTGATGATTGTTGATGAAGCGAAAGAGGTATGTAAGAATCGTAGCAATTGGCGATCCATAGTCTCTGCCTTCCCCTATTTGAGACAGGAGTGAGGTTATGTATGTATATCTATATAATTATCTACATAAAAGATAGTCGTGTTAGTTATTTACAACTCAAGAATGGCTGAATTGATTTAGATGAAAATTGGTGGGGAGGTAGATTAGAATCAGGAGACGGACATAGAGGTAGAATAAGTACATTTTATCCAACATAATTTTTTACGTTTTACCGAAAATCACGAACGGGAAAAACGGGAGTGCGCGTACGAAGTCGAAGGCAGAAGCTAGTGTACCTATGTTAAACACAAATTAAGATTACCTACCTACCTACGTCAATCGATGAGCATGCATGACGATTATGACGACAATCCATTAATGTAGCTAGATGAAGCGAAAGAGGTGGGTTAGAAGAGCTACCATTCTCTTTGTCTCTATCTACTCTCAATGGGAGATACCTGTGAAAATAACTCTGGGTGCCTACACATTGCACATTGTTTAGTATTAGAATGAATTAAGTATCTATCGGTCGCAGGGAGCCGTTGGATACAGGTCGCTTCCAACCGGCCTAACTGGAAGTCATTGGGGGAGGCACAAACACACACACACACACACTCACACACTCACACACACAAACACACACACACATACACATAATGGCCAAAATAGTTAATATCTGCGTTGAGAAAGTCCCTTTTTTTATTATTATTATTTTTCTTGTAGTAATTTTCTGTATTAATTATTATGTTATTACTTTTTATCTTATTCTTGTTATTTTTCTTTAAACAAAAATTAATATTATATAACTGACATTAGAAAGGCTGAAATTATCTGTACGTTTGAGGGCCAACCCTCAAACGTACCCAAGCACTGATAGTCGAAATACAGGCAATGCCTAGTTCGACTACAGAAGCTAAAATCATATACCTGTAAAAATATTGTAGCCAAAACTATTGTTGATATATTGTATTAAGTGCTTATGAATAAAATAAATCATTATATTATTATATTATATTATTGGGGGAGGCCTATGTTTAGCAGTAGACGTCCTGTGGCTGATATGATGATGATGACACACGTATATTAACTAAACACACTTGATATCTGTTGGAAGAACCAGTCACATAAAATTATGCTTTGCTTAACTTGGCCATCAAACCTTATGCTCGGTGGATGCACTTATTACTTGATGTTTCCCGCGGTTTCGTGTGATAAAATAAGAAGCCTACTTTATTCCTACAACTTGGGCCGGTGGCTGAAACGTAACGTATCGATTTGATTCCCGGAATGAAATGTGTGGTCCAGTAATTATTCTTCCGGATCGGGGTGTTTTGTTTTTGTTGGTATGTTTGTACCTACTTAAAAGTTTGTGTACAAAATCAAATCATCGAGGTAAAATAAAAAAAGCGAAAAGTGACATAATTGTCATCACCTTAAAAGTAACGAGGCAATTATTTTATTGATAATTTTATTTATTTTTCCATCATATTACATAGACAGTTAACCTTAATACTAGTTTTATAATATTGACAAAGTTGTGAGAGACTGGTTCTACATATTATGATTTTGCGTAGTTTAAGTAACAATGCAATGATAGAAGTCAGGAACCCAAACTAGGATAACCTGTGCTATAACCTACAATAAAATGTTCTTAACATAACA